AAATATAAATTTTGGGACAATATTGTCTGATAAAGAGAACATTTATATAGATGTTTAAGCCAGAATGATTTGAAATTTAAATATTACTTCCCTACGACTTTAAGTATAAGCTTCTCCTCTATCCAGAGCCTGATCTTTTTCTGATCTCCACTGGAATTCACCGCTGGCCGTTTCTATAGGGATCTTATGTGAATCCACAGCGCCAGAATTGGCCACGCCCCCCCAGTGGGGATACGGAACAGAAGGGTCCTTCAGGCTACAAGCTGAGCTGTGAAAGGGGCGTGGTTAGTTTGCATATCAACCAATCAAAGTCTGCAATTTAAGATTAAAGGTTTTAAAGGTTCAGACCTAAATCTAATATTCATATATAGATCTAGGAAGCAGGAATAAATCTAACATTTAGGTTTAGTGTTTGTCTAAATGTGAGAGAAAAAAACTCTACATTTAAAGGAAACACGTTAAATAGAAAAGATCTAAAGTAAAAATTGTTTTTCTTTTTATTTATCATAATTATTCGTCTGTGCATTGAATGCGTGTCCATAGCAGGGTCTGTAGCTTCACACGCTAATATTTCATACATTCAATAAATCTAAAACTGAGCTAAAAAAGTAAGAAACTGAGGTTTAGTCCAAACAACGAGCTACTGAGCAGCCAGGAGTTGAAAAAATTAACTCTACTTTATGAAATAATGAAAAAAGGCCGACATCAGACCTGATTTAGCAGTTAGCATCAGCTGCATCCATCATGGCTGCAGCTCAATCAACGTACAAAATACAAACAGATCCGACTTCACTGGGTTTTTATTCATCAGCACACTTTAAAAACATTTTAAGAAACCCAGCAGAGAAACATCAATAAATCAAAATCCACCACAGGATGGTCTGATGTTCCCCTACGGATGGCGGAGGGGGGAAGCGGCGCCCGATCAGCTCTCCGTTCTCAGCTTGGAGTGACTTCCTGTTTTATTTGGCGCTCTGGAGTCAGTTCTGCTGAACATGCAGGAACCGTCTGCTGCTTCAGCAGATCCCAGAGCAGCTGAATGAGGAAGCGAGGCTCAGATGTCCCAGTCTGACCAGCGGATTCCTTTAAACACCGCCCCCCAAAAAATCCCTAAAAATATGAAACTGAAGAAAGCGATGACATCAGGGAATGTTGTGGATCCTCACCATGGTTGGAGGTAATGATGGTGAGGAGCTTCCATGTAAACCTTTGAATCCTCAGGAGCTGAAGAGGCTCCGGGATGATGTTCCAGGCACAAACGGTCCCGGTGACCCAGGAATGTTCATGTTCACGGCTCGGGAGCCGCGGGGGGCCCGCTGCTAACAGACCGGAGCCACGCAGTCCTGGGCCCTCTGGAACACCTGGTAGACGTTCACCAGGGGGAACATGGTGAGCGCTCCCACCAGGGAGCCCGCCTGGATGGAGATGCCACACCACAGCAGCGCGGCGTGACCCGTCTCATGGAGCAGAGTGCCGATCACCACCTTCAGGTAGGAGAAGAGGCCGGTGAAGACGATCCAGGAGATGACCTGCAGGGGGCGAACACGGGCAGCTGGGTGAGTGAGGCTTTTAATGTGAAAGTCCACCTAAAGAAGTGCGTGTCACTACCGGATCCGGACCGGAAGCACGATCCGTATCATCGGCTCATTTCTGCATGTGTGAGCAGAAATTACCCAGGTAGTCATAAATAATGTAATTATATTACTAAAAGTTCTTCTTTTAAGT